GGGGGGGGGGGGAGCGCGGAATGCGCTCTCGTCGCGATTCTCGCGCGCCACGGACCTCTTTTTTTTTCACTACTCTGTAATCGCGGAAGAGACGCGCCGTGTGTTGGCGCGCGCACACACACGCGTACAGATCGTTTGCGCCCGCCAAACTACACCGGGAGGTCATCTCGGCGCCTGTCAAACGCGTCGTTAAAATTTCACACGGCGAGAGTACGACAGGAGATCCTGCGCTATTTCCCAAATAGCGCGGGAGAGCGCGCGCCGTGCGAAATGTGCAATTTTCTACGAGTCTCTCGCGGCATCGAGCGGACGCTGAAGGATTTTTCAGAGTATATTCAGTCGAGTCGTGAAAAACGCCCCCGAGGATTTCCTCGATTTTTCGGAGCGCCTCCGCGTACAAATTTCCGAGCGCGATCGCGACTCTCGAGACAATTTCCCGAGGCTTCGCGGAACAGAACAGCAAAAGGGACTCCTCGAGGATCTCGAAGCCACTTCAGGTGGCGGACGCCTCGTTTCTCGACGATGCGCTCCCGGACGCGAGACGTCGTCGAGAACGTCGCCGGGACAAAACGCACGTACACGTGAAACGCACACGCGAACAGTGAGGACAAAAATGACGACGCGGGTAAATAAAAATGAGAAAGCACACTCGACACGTACCACCAGTGCCATGTCGCGCTGTTTCGACTTCTGGACGTGGAGGATTCGCGCGCCCAGCTCGAGTAATTTCTTTCGCAGCTGTTTCACGGAGACGCCGAGCGTCTGCATGTAGCGACGCCTCAGCTTCATTTGAACGGAGCCGCCAGGTTGTCGGCGTGCCGGAAGCAACCACTGACCAACGGCCGGCGTCGAGTTGACATAAACGCACCACCGACGACAACACCACTTTCGCCCTCGTCGCCGTCCACCCTTGTCGCGCCGCCGTCGAACAGTTCTCCGAGCAACACGAAGAAGTCGCGTTCTCGTCGTCGTTGACGTCGTCGTCGTCGTCGTTGTTGCTATTACCGTCGTCGTCGTAACGATTTCACCGCACCGACTCGATCACCACTGATTTCAACTGCTCGTCACCGCGACGCGACGTTGTTTCTCGCGAACATGACGACGCTCTGCCTCGGCACACCACCGATGCGAGATCCCCGGCGACCCGGCGGCTCCTCTCGTCGCGAGAGGAGGAGAGAGAAACAGATCTCGACGGCGCTTTCGCCAAGAGAGAGAGACACTGCCGTAGTACTGCCGGTCGTCGCGGTTCCCGTGGCTCGGTCCACCGACGACGACGATCGATCGGGGCCCGTTAGGAGGAAGCGACCCCGTTCCCACTTAATTCGATTGTATCCGGTGCTCCGCGCCGGCGATCCCACTTGACCATAAGCGTTACGGTCGTTTAACGGGCGTCTAATGGGAGCAGCGCGACTCCGCCGGTGTTATCCCCTTCTCTGCGGTGTATCGCCGCGTAGGAGGAGGAGGAAGAGGAGGAAGGAAAGGAGAGGAGGAGAAGGCGGGAGAGGCAGGAGGCTATCTCTCTTTCTCACTCTGCCTGCGAGTACGTGCGTCTGCTGTCGCCTCGTAGCGAGATTCCCAGAGATTTCCGGGAATGAGAGAGCAACAGATAGAACGAGAGAAAGAGAGAGAGAGAGAGGGACGAGTCACTCTCGTCGAGCGGCCAGTATTATCAAAGAGTTCGCTTGACGCGTACGCTCATTCGCGCTGTCTGGCAGACGTTGAATGACGTCGAGGTATACACTCGTCGTCGTAGTTGTCATCGGCAGCAGTAGCATCGGTGGCAGTAGTCTAGACAGGCCCGACCTTGACTTCCGAAATCATCTCGCGCGTTCGCGTCGTCCTTCTTGTATCGCTCGTAACCGTCGCGTCGCGTGCACTTCCAGTTGGCGGGGCTCCTCCGAGGGGCCCATCGAAGGCCTTATTCGCGGCCGAGGATCCACCGTCACGTACCGTCAAGGGATCTCCGCCCTCGTGCATAAATCCGTCTCACGGTCGGAAAAGCAAGAGGGGAGTCGCGCTGCGTACGTACGTGCGTGCGTGCGTGCGTGCGTGCGTGCGTGCGTGCGTGCGTTCGTTCGTTCGTTCGTTCGTTTGTTCGTTCGTACGTACGTATGTACGAGAAAGCCGACAGTGAGAGAGGATGGGAAACAGGGACAGAGAGCGAGAAGAACAGGGGGCAGGTTGCGTGAAGGAGCGAGGACAGAGATCTGGCGAGGGATAAGCACGGGCTGTTGGCCGAGTTCCCGCCGCTGCAGGCGGCGGAGAGAAACGTCAGCGCTGCTCCGCGTCGCTTGTTCTCTCGCGTTGGCGAAAGTCGCGGGATATGTCGCAGGACGACGGGCTCTCGTGTCTTTCCGCGGCTTTCCTCGTGACGACAGAGGGGACGTCACTCTCGTCGTCGTTCTCTTGCAAGTCTTTCTCTCTTGTATGCGCGACCGCGTCTCTTCTCTCGGCGACACTTGACTTTCGTTGTGTCGTCGCGCCACACAGCTCCGAACATACACACACAGCACACACACGCACGACACAGGACGGAGGCACAGGACGAACGTACGAAACGGCGTCCACTCGCGCTCACACTCGCTCGATCGCGATGACGCGCGCGAGAAATCGCGAGGACGGTCCTGGGTGCCGCGACGCCGCGCCCCTCATTGACACTATCCGTCGCACACCACGTTCGACGGCAGACTGAACGCGTCCGGTGTCTGTCAGGCCGCAGCACCGTCGGACCAGCCGCCCCTTTTCCTCGTCCCCTTCGCGTCGACCCCACTTCGAACCCGCAGCGTTTCCCCTTCGCTCCCTCCAACGCCGTCAAAGTCGTCGTCGCTGCCACTGCCGCCGCCGCCACCACTACCACTACTACACTACTCTACTACTACTATTACCACCACCACCACCACCACCACCACCAGCACCACCACTACCACCACCACCACTACCGCCGCCGCCGCCACCGCTGCCGCCGCCGCCGCCGCCGCCGCCGCCGCCATCGCCACCGCCGCCGGCGGCGCAGTGGCCGCATTTACCTCCTCTCGCTCCGCTTCTCACGAAGCGTTGCACCGCGCCGCGCCGCGTCGCGTCTCGTTCTGTCTGCCCGCAAGCGCAACAGAGATCCACTCTGACTCTCTGTCGGTCTTTCTCCTTCTCTCTTTCTTTTGCGCTCTTTTTCGCTCCTCTCGTACGCACCCACACCCACACGCGCCGCCGCCGCCACCAGACGCTGCCGTGCGTGTATCGCGGGTGCCCGATCCACCGGCTGATTAGCCCGGCGTGTCGTCGCACGACGCAAAAATCGTCCGTGTTCGCGCGCTCTCTCGTTCTCTCTCTCTCTCGTTCTCTTGACGGATGTTGCGCTCTATCCTCTTCTCGCACGAGGGTTCTTTCTATGTTTGTGTGCGGCAGCGACGATTCTTAGAGTGCACAGCTTCCGATTGAGAGATACATCATATGTTAATCCGATAATAATTAGCTCAATCCTCAAAAAGCGAAGCTAATATCGAAATAACGGAGACCGAGTCTCCGTGGTGCGAAGTGCCCGATATGAAGTTTGTGGATCGTAAAAACGTATTGCATAATTATCTCTCCGCGATTCATTAAATACCAGACACAATTGCGTGGTCCGACCAAACACAACAGAATCGATATCGAGCCGAAGTGATAACGCGCGCGCGACGAGATAAAATTTACACGACATATGTATCTGCAGCAGCCTATTTCTGAATTCTCGAACTTCTATCATGCGAATGAAGAATTATCCGTGCGATTTCGATATCGATAGGAAGGGGGGGGAGGATCAAATGTATGCGATTTCATTAGCATCAGGTCGATCCGAATTATTCGAGAGCGACGATAAAACCGGCGACAGGAAGAAATACGCGCGCACGCATCGTGGACAAGTTAAAACGCGAGCTGCATTTCATGTAGTTGAAACGCGTCGGTGAGCGCGGAAAACAGGTAGAGACGCCGCTCGTTAACATTGTTTCGCGAACACGAGACCGTTCATTTTTACAGCGAGACAGAGTCGGCTGGAATGGGGAAGGGGGAAAAAGCAATGTAACGTTCAAAGTGTCGGATGATCAGTCAGAAAATCGCGGCGCAACGCGAGCGCGTAATTTGCGCGCCCGTGGGCGCGGGGTTAGTCGCAACAACAACGGGCGCATTATAATCGATCCCTGTTAATTCGCGCGCGCGAGCTGCATCGCGCTGCGGGGGATGAAATTACGCTTGAAATTATATCAGCTTGTTATTCCGGTCCCCGCGGTGTGTCGATCGATCGACTCGCCGCCTCGCTTCAAGATTAATATCGTAGATCGAGTTACTCGATTTAATGCGCGTCCGTGGAACCCGGCGAGACGCGAAGGGTCGCCCCGCTCCTTCGTGAAAATTGCACTCGCGCGAATATCTCGAGATCGCGCGATTCACTCGTTGGGATAGTCGCCGAAGGGCTCCCTAAATAGGAAAGAGCGACCTCTTCCTAGCCAATGACTAGCCAGAATCTTTGGTTATCGGCTAGTTCCTGACCAGCTTGGGCGACACTTGCTTCGCCAGTAACTATACCGATGGATTGTTACAACATATTTTTACTCATACACCAATATAAAATATTTTTCAAGTAAAAGAACATACATTTTCTTATAATCTTAAGAAAATTGTAACTTTTCATAAAAGCAATTATATATCCTATAAAAGAATTTAGATTTAAGTAAATAATCTGTTAGTACTCTCTCCCAAATAAATATTTACTAACTTTCTGATATTTTTTTTTTCAATTGTGGACAAAATTAGTCAGTTTTTAGTCAGTTTCTAAACCAAATTTTTTTTTACAAAATTCAAATACTTATCATCGCTTGATTCTTCCTCTGTATTATAAAATATGTTTTATTATTCAATATAAAAAAATTATGTGAAACTCGTGTTTCAAAAGGTAAAATCTTTACACGTGCAAATTTATTCATTACTGAAATGATTTTAGCTTTATTTGCCATTTTCTCTTGTCTAGTTTCTGGTCATTAACTGGTCAAGAAATACAGACCAATATTTTCCACTGTCCAGTTCCTCTGGAGATCGTTCTACTTGGATTGTTTCGGAATTTCGGATCGAGCATATAGTCGATTGCCAAATTTGGATTGACACATTTGGATACACAGTTTTTTTCTTTCGCTAAAATTCAGAGCGATTCCTCGCCGACTAACGTTACGATTTCGTGCACGGTGCACACGATTCAAGGATATAAAGAACACCGGAAATTTACCCGGGAGAAAATTTCGCGAAAGTCGTGATGCGGAAATGCGCGCCGACGCTACCGTCTTTCTTGCGCGTGACGTGCGCGGAGTAATCCGGCGACTGGGAGTTGTCATTAATTCGACGTAACTTTCGAATATATCCTAATCAATTATTTTCGTCCACCGTTCGTCCTCTTATCGAAGAAATATCGCCATGAATTATGCCTCTTCCTGTCACTATAAGCCATTGATATTTTCGCTGAAGCATTTATGCGCGCGTGTCCAAGAGTTAGGAGGCCGCGCAGTGACCTTGGGATTCAGGAATACATATCTCGTGCCGAATACGCGCATACTTTCCCCATGAAAGATCGATTACCGCCTCCGTCTGCATTCTTAAGACACGTGAAATACTTACTCGATTAAGATGATGTTGGATACCGACATCACGTCAGAGTTTTGCAGTTTCCTTTCTTCTTAAATACATGCATCAAATTAAGAATGCTGTTGCATGTACTAACGGCTGTCGCTAAACAGTTGCATGAAATCGACAAGAAATTTTTTTTTATAATTGGTCGGTAAGTAAAATTTGTTGAAAAAAAAAGTTGATTTCATGCAACTGTTTAGCCGTTCATATTAATGTTTGTACTTTAAAATGCAAAAGCATTTTGATGCATCCAATTGGAAGAGAAGAGAAAACTACGAAACGGCATTATCCATTATGCGTTGGTATCCAGCATCGTCTTAAGTATACACCGCGAGGCAAACTCTACGTGATTTCCATAATTCCGCAATATTCAAAAGTAAAATCCACGCAGCGGTGTGCTCGCGCGAGAACGAGGTTCCATCGACACGCCATCCCGGAGACTTCGTTTGCTGCCTCGACTATCAGCCGCGAGTATCTCCTTAATCGCGTCTCGCGGCTTACTTCTGTCGGAGATTCGCCGGAGAAACGCGTCCACCGTCGAACTTTATCGCGCGTCGGGAATCTCGCTGCACGCACCTGGCGCGTCGATATCTATCGATCGGGCACGAGAAGTACAGAAAAAAAGGCCCAGCGCGGCGGCGGAGCCGAATTCATCGGCACGGGATTATCGAGAGGGTCTGTCTGACCTATTTTCTCCCGTGGGCGCGGATATCCGCGTGCGTCGCGCTATTAGCAGTCTATTGTGACGCAATCGAGCCGGCCTCGTTCTCGATCTTCTCGTAGGAAAAAAAAAAAGCGTACGGCTGGCGGCCGGTCAATCCTCCCGACGGAATTTCAACATTGCCCCCGATCGCCGAGCGAGCGGGCGGGCGGCTTCTGCGTGACGCGCGGGTGGGTGCGTACGCGCGATGTACACGGGCGCGTACACGCACGCCGTTAAGACACTACCAAACGGTCGCTCTCACCGAGTGTGTATCGGTCGCCGTCTCGCGCGGAGAATACGAGAGAGAGAAAGAGACAGAGGAGGGAGAGAGAGAGAGAGAGGGAGAAGGTCGGTCGGTCTCACCGACGATTTCTCACACCCGCGCGCGTCGTGAGAGCAGCGGTGCGAGCGAGCTGGCGAGCTCAGCGAGCGGCTGGTCGGCCGGTCGGCAGGAGTATGAGAAAGAGAAAGTAGGAGGGAGAGAAAGCTGGGGCGGCCGGTAATGGCGGTGACGCCGCGCCAGTCTGGGTAGAATGAGGGACGAAAAACAGAGAGAGAGAGAGAGAGGGCGAGAAAGGAGGAAGAGCGGATAAAACGCGAGTTGGAGAAGCAGAGGGAGGAGCAGGAGAGAGACAGGCAAAAACGAAAGAAAGGTGAATCCTCTTCGAGTACCCTCTGCGACGTCATCTCGCTGGTCGCTCGTCGGACGGACGGATGGACGGACGGTCGGTGGAGTCGCACCTTAAGGGGCACCCAACGGCGAGCTCGGGAGTGCGCGAGCCTCGAGGGGTCGGCTGAGTGAGTGAGTGAGCGAATGGCGACCTCACTCACCTCCTCACCTCGGCCAAGGTCGTCCGTCGTCGGCGAACCGTCTGTTTCCGACGTCGTTTCGCCCATCGTGGGTGCCGACGACGTCTGCGTCTCGCGCGCTCGTGCGCTGCGCGTGACTGCTCGTTGTACAGTCATCGTCGGCTAGAGGAGGTGCGACACAACACGACATGGTACGGTACGGCACGGTACGGTACGATGCGGTGCGGTACAGTGCGACGCAGGACACGACGCAGCCGGGCGAAGCCCCTATTCGCGCGCGTTCCTCCTTCATATTTACCACGCGTGCAGACTCCCGGTTACGAGCGAGACGACGGGACGACGCAGCAGCAGCAGCAGCAACAGCAGCAGCAGCAGGGCTGCTGTCGCCGGCGGTGTTTGCGCGCTCGCGGCACGCTTGCGGAATTCCGACGCCGCGCCGCTTGTTTACCAGCCCGAATTAACCGCTTCGTGTACGCCCGGCGATATAGCGCGTATAATTAACTCCTCGTCTCTACCCCTCCCTTCTGCCGTCTCCTTCTCCTCCTCCTCCTCGTCGAACGGACGCACTCGCGAAGTCGCGCCAAGCGGGCGAGACAGCGCGAGAGACGAAATGCGACGACGACGACAAGGAACAACCACCCGTCCGTCCGTCTCTCCCTCCCACCCTCCCGTTCGCCCACGCGGAAGCTCACGAGGATTCCCACGCTCCGAGATTCGCGCGATCACGAGCTCGCGCGCCGGGTATA